AAACAGATCCAAACACCCCCTAAAATTTGATTACACTTGATATGCTCCCATGCTCACTTTTAAGCAAACTAGAGGGTGTTTGGAACTGATTATGCTTCTTTTTTAAAGCAGAAGAGGAATCAGAATCAATTTTCAGAAGTTGTTCTCCCCCAGCTTCTAAAAAAATTGATTACAGGAGTAAATTAGAGCACCAAAAGTCTTTCTTCACCTTCACCCAAACAATCCAACTTTTGCATCTACTCCCTGAAGGAGCAAAAGTAGTTTTAAGAATCATAACCAAACACCCCCTAAATGTCTCTTTAATAGTGCCCCTGATTTACCTCCACCCGCCACAAGAGCTCCACTTGACTCACTCAGAAGTCAAAACCCAACCTACTTCGTGACTTCCTTTCCCTCTTGAGGGTCGACATTCATCTTCCAGCTGCCAGCATCAGAACGCTGCTCATCGGAATTAGCTCTTAGGCAATGCACCTTCGCTCCCATAAAAAAAACCTCCAACCCTCCTCAAAGTCTGAGATCATCCCCGTCTTTACCACAAAGACCACATGTACTACTCGAAAATCAATATTCATTTGTTGAAGATTTTCTATTGTTGGGAGACAACCACAACATACTTGTTAAACAAATTGCTTTATTTTGGGGTAAACAATACCACCTACAACCTTTCGGTAGCAACCTATCACAGAATACTAGCCATCCACCCCCTAGACCAAATTATCGTGTACTAAACCGGCCTTTTATTTACAGGAATGCTACTAATCAGTTTTATGGCTATGTTGTTAAAAATATCATTCCGAACATCCTTATCTCGTTCTTCCTTATTCAGGAGCAACAACCGTGCTATTGATGCCTCCACCGGGTCTTGGACACATTCATACATAACTTTATGATTCTCTTTATCCGGAAGCCAAGGGTCTCTCCATAAATTTATAGAAAACTCATCCCCTACTCGTCACCTTACTCCATCCTTCATGGTTTCCTGAACGTCAAACAGTCTCCTTCAGATGAATGAAGGATTACCTCCAAGGTTGGCTGTCTAGATAAGACCCGTCTTGGTAGTGTCTTGCACGGAGTACCTCTTCTCACAAGAGTTCCAGGGTCCATTATAAGCTTCCACACTTGTTTGGCCAGCATGGGAAGATTAAAATCCCTTATTTTCCTCAAACTCATCCCCCAGGCTTCTTTGGGTTGCACAGGAAATCCCGATTCCGCAATCTAATCCCTTTCCCTGTCTAGGCATTTCACCAATACCCATTCATAAGAAGAACCTTCAATTTCCGATACAAATCTAAAGACATGAGAAAGACATTCATAGTAAGAGATTGCATCGCCTGAATAAACTGCTCTCCCAAATCTTGACAAGAATTTGGTGTTTCAATTCTGGATTCTTTTAATCATCCGATCTCTAAGATAGCTAAGAATCTCCTTCTTGCTCTTTCCACATAAAGATGACAATCCAAGTATTTCTCCTTCCCGTTTGATCCTACCCCCGACAGCTCAGACAACCCATCCTTAATTACCATCAAGAACATTATTACTAAAAATAACTTGAACATATTAAAGTTATTTATTTTCCCGAAAACAGCCTCATATGTATGTAAATCCCTCTTGTCGTGGAGGCTTCATCCATGTGTGGCCTGAATAAATAACAAGCTATCATGTGTAAATTAAAGAATAAGTGTGACATGTGTGACGCCGTTCTCATCTCAGCTCACCATGAATACTGCTCATATTCTCTTGATTATGAATAAGTGCACCATAGGTACACCACAAATAGACTCATACTTGTTTGAACAAGGGCACACAATCCTACTGAAGAAAAATTAAGTGTTATTTAATACTTCCTCCGGTCTCAAATAAATTTCACACTTTCCTTTTTGGGTAGGTCCAAAATAAACTTCACACTTCTATTTTTGGCAACTTTTTACTATAAAATTACCCCTATATTCTTACTTTATTACCTACTTTACACCCACTTTCTCTCTCCCACTACACTTTATCTACTTTTTGTAGGGGTAGGGTGGAAAGTCAAAACAAAAAATTCCACTTTCTTAACAATCGTAAAGTCAAACCATGAAGATTATTTAGGACCGGAGGGAGTAATATTTTATTAATTTTTTCTGCCTTTTATTCCTTTAACATTTTATTTGAATAATTAAAACAACAAGGTGAGGTGAACTACTATTTTCATTTTTTGTTTCTGAAAAATTGAACTTTGATCTACAGTTCAAATAAATCAACAAACATATAAAACTAAATCAAATAGAACTAAATTGAACCAAATCATTTAATTTTAGTAATCCGAACATGAAAAACAAATGATTATAGTTTTATACAATGTCTCCGAAATCGAATAAATTGAAACCGAACCGAAACTGATAAAAATCAAACAATGAATCAAGTTGTCTGCCCTTAGTCATAACATTTTAACTAGAGATAAAAGTTTATATACATGCAAGTGCTTCACTTAATTAAACCATAAATATATATAGCAATACCTTAGAAAGCATAAAAATTTTAGCGCCCCAAATATTAACTTTATAGTGTTAGGAATTAAGAACTAAACAATACATAATGCTTAATTATTTGTAAATACAAAACTTAGTTAATATATTTATTCAGTTTTTGGAGGTGAGCCAAAAACAAACAACTACTCAATTCAATTTCCATTTTTCTGCAAAAAATTAAATTTATTTGTTGTTCAGTTTTTGTAATTTCGGAAAAGTACCAAATCAGCACTCGAACTAACATCAATAGTGCAAATCACCCCTTATATAGGAGGCTCTGTCCGGCTGTCTACATTTGGGGCGTTTCCCGATGAAAGTTTTTGATGAATTGTTTTGCGCATCTTTTTCATTAAGTCTAGTTTACTCATACCAAATTTAAGCTAAAAATTCAATCGGGAAGGCAGTCAAATAATTTTTTGAAGATAATTGTGCAATTAAACAGCGCAGTATATTTCAGAAAATCATTTGATTGCCTTCTCGGTTGAATTTTTAACTGAAATTTGGTATGAGTAAACTAGACCTAATAAAGAAGATGCTCAAAAACATTCATCAAAAAACTCCACCGGAAACCGCCCCAAATGACGACGGCCAGACATATCCTCCTATATAAAAGGTGATTTGCACTGTTGATGTTAGTTCGAGGGCTGATTTGGTACTTTTCCCTTGTAATTTTTTGTCTTGGTTTTGCTTGCCCACTCTTACTTAAAATGTTTTTAATTGGATTGAATTTTTTTGGTCTTGTCCAATCTGATATGATTTAGGCTATGTTTGGCACAACGAGCTGCAACTGGAGGCTGATGTCTGAAATAAGGGCTATAGTCTGAATCAGAGACAATTGTCTGGAGCTGAATCTGAATTGCTATCTGAATGAAATAGTCCTGTTTGGCAAAAAGAGCTGGAAAAGTGCCGGCTAATATGAAATTACATTAAAGGACATATGATTTATGAATAATAGAAAACAAATTATTTTAATGATTTTTATATTTCAATAAAATTAAAAGGGAAAACTTCAAATCAGTCCACTTACTGTTATGAAAAAGTTAATTGAGTCCATGTACTATTTTTTTAATCAATTAAGTCCATGAAGTGTCAAATTTTCACCAATTTTACCATTTAACCGGTAAACGACCGGTAGCCCCTATATTTGCTGATACGGATTCCACTTGACTATTTTGTACTATTTTTTTCTTTTTTCCTTTTTTTATTTCTTTCTTCTTCATTTTTTTTCTCCTGTTCGTCCCTACCGACTCTATGCTCTGCAACTCCCCTCTCTTCATTCCTTCTTTTTCCTTTTTCCCCTTCTTCTCCCCACAACTCATCCACTCTTCTTCTTCCCTACTGCTTCTAACCCACATCCTTACCCAACCATCTCCTCCCTTCATTCTTGCCCAGTACTCCAGTAGTTCAGCCTCCATCTTCAATTCTTTCCTTTTCTTTCTTTTCCCCTTCTTCAATTCTCCAATCTACTTCTTTTACAGTTCTACCTCACCCAACCTTCTATCCTCCCTTCTTTCATGGCTAGATACTAGAGAAGGCGAATTTGGCAACCCAAAGGCGACCCCTGCTCTTCTTCAATGGCAACCAGCTGACAACGACGGCGGCGGCAGAACTCGACTTCGGCGGCGGAGCTCGACCGAGATGGCAACGACAGAGTGGACGGTGGTAGAAAAATGGAAAGCTAGAGGGGGAAGAAGGAAGAAAGAAGAGGAGAGAATAAAGAAAGAAAAGAGAAGAGAAACAAGAAAAAGGAAATTGAAGGAGAGTTGCAGGAACGGTTCTTTGAAGAAGAAGAAAGAATAAAAAAAGGAAAAAGATAATTTAATGCCAGCCAAATAAGCGCTTACATGGAAAAAAAAGCCACTTGGATGATCCACGTAGGCCTATTAACCGGGAAATGGATCAGTTACCGGAGAAAAGGCAAATTTGATCATTTTTTGACTCTTGGTGGACTTAATTGATTGACAAAATAGTATATGAACTCAATTGACTTTTTCATAATAGTACGTGGACTGATTTGACAGTAAAATTATAACTTTATACTACTATTATATACTTATACTACGTATAATATAAAATTAATCTTTTATATCAACATTACGTTAACTCAAATGTGACCTTTTAAAATTTCAGTATATGTATATTTGTATTTACTACGATATACTTCCTCCGTTCTTTTTTAGTTGCAACGGTCAACATTTCACACTTGCCAACGCACGTCTTTGACCGTAATTATATCTTAATCTCTATTAGTATAAGATATTTAAAAATTAGATTTTGAAAATTTGTAATGAGATGAATTGAACAATATCTTTTTTAAAAAATAATTTTCATAAAATAATAATATAAAATGTAGTCAAAGTAGTATATGTGAATAGTGTAAAATTCAACATGTTGCGATTAAAAAGAGACGGAGGATAGTATATGTATGGGTGTGTGTGAATATATTTCAATACATTTTTAATTTATAAATGAATAAATATATACAATAAAATAATAGCACTATCTTCATATTCCATGCGTGCATTTGGATCACTGCTGCACAAATCTTCCCACTCCTTCACTCTTCAAAGTAAATTCCTCCCCAACACCCAGAAATTCAGAATTCCAGAATTTTTTTTGTTCATTTTTCCTGAAAAAATCAGCTTCTCCCTAGACATGTGGGTCTTGAATACATCGAGGTCATATGATTTAGGTCTGCATCTTTGGATGCAACACAGCCTTGTCGTCGATTCTCAGTCCGAAGTCATCTCATATAAATTTTAAAGGTATAATACTGTTCAATTCTATAACATGAACATGGTCCGATGAAATAATTATGTGTTCTAGAGAAGAAAACGTTGGGTGTAGTGAATTTATTAGGCTTGAAGGTGGGAGCAAGATTGAAACCGAAGGTAAAGGAGAGAGGTTAATATCGGAAAAAGGGAATCAAGTCAATCAACTGAAGGGAAACGTTGCCTGCGCAAACGTTTCAATTCAGCTATTGTTTTCTAGTTCCAGCTCAAATCAGTTCTTTATCCAAACACCTTTAATTGTGTATTACTTGACTGGAATTCAGCTCATAATCAGCTGAAATGGTCTGCCAAACAAAGCCTTAGTTTGATCCGTCTTATGATTTACGTGGATGTAAATCGGAGGAAGAGAGCGTGGGGCTGGCTTGCAAGTGATAATGAAGGGAACTTCATCAGCGGAGGCAGTGAGACTCGGGCAGCTGACTGGTCAGCGGCTATTATAGAAGCAGTCGGGATAAGAGAGGTGATATCCTGGCTAAAGAGCAAGGTTAGTCCCATGTCGAAATTGAAACAAATGCACTGCCTGATACCTCCAGGCTCTTGGGAGGTTGTGAGAATTCTTATTTGGATATCGTCGTGGAAGATGTAAGACACCTACTTCAATCTGAAGTAGTTTTATTGTCAAACATGGTAGACGATCCGCGAATCGGGCAGTCCATACACTTGCTAAGGCAGTCGTTTCTAATGTGGGTGGCAGAATAATTTTTCATTTTTTACCGTCCAAGCGCCCCCCACGCCCCGACCCGACAGAACACATGGGAGGATGTAAGTTACGGTGACTCAGTCAGCAGAGTGACAGTAGGCCTTTTGAATCATGGTTTCATGGGATTATTTACCATTTTGTCTTGTTTTTCTGGGTGTAGATTATCTTGATTGATTTGATTCTACATAAAAGAAAAGCTTATAGGCACTTGTTCTACAATACGTTTACTCGAGAGAAACTTAATTTTGAGGTATGTTTTAACTGAATCCATCCCCAGTTAACGGGCGCACCAGAGGCCCAGCCTTATTTCAGGTTTTGTGACCTTCACCCGGTCGCTGCGGGGATTCGAACCTTGGTCATAGTTCCAATTTTCCCACCACTCGAGCAGCTGAGCTACTCGTGCGGGTACCGTCTAACATTTGTAGCCATGTGGCCAACGACTTATTTAATTAATAATAGCTATTTTTAATTCCCAAAAAAGTCTGATTTGATTTTTTAAGTGTGTGACTAAAAAAAGTAAGACCATTTTTAGCATGTTTTACTTCTATTTTAATTTGCTGGTCTGATCGATCTGGTCTGAACTGGTCTGGTAATGTCTAGTCTGTTTTTATAATTATGCAAGTATGATTGATTTGGTTTGATCCTTCACGCCCAACTAAAAACATCCTTGCATCTAATTAGAACCGGAAGAACTAAAGAGAGGAAACGCCGACTGCCGCTGCCGGAGCTCAGTCTACTGTTGTCGGTTGCATCCTCGGTCGATCTACAGACAGAAGTAAAAAGTCGGAGAGCGATTAGTTTACTTCTTTTTCTGGTAAACATTATGGACAAAGATGGAAAATTTCGATGCGTCGAGTGTGGATCATCAATTAACTCTCTCTACATCCAATACTCTCCCGGCAACATACGTCTCATGAAATGCGTACTTTCCTTTCTCCTCTTTCTTGATCCTCAATAATCTTGAGTTTGGGTTTTTATTCTGTCTTTTTATAATTGCAGGAGAACTGTAAAGCTGTCGCCGACGAGTACATTGAATGCGAAATCATGGTACTTCGTCAAAATTCATGATAAAAATCTCAACTTTGAATCATGGTTTCATGGGATTATTTACCACTTTGTCTTGTTTTCTGGGTGTAGATTATCTTGATTGATTTGATTCTACATAAAAGAAAAGCTTATAGGCACTTGTTCTACAATATGTTTACTCGAGAGAAACTTAATTTTGAGGTATGTTTTAACTGAATCCATCCCCAGCTGTGAAATTGCATTCTTGTCCAGAGTCATTTGTTTATGCTGGCTGCTCCTTTAATTTTTGCAGGGATTATTATGGAAATCACTACTGGTATTCCTTCTCTTGGATTCTTGTATCCATTTTGTGATGTTACAATACACTTGACAGAAAATTTATGCATTTTCCATTTGCATATTTTGTTTCATCATAGGTTATGAGTCTATGTATTACTCTTTTATAAGAGTATGTTAGTTCAATGTCCCATTTAGTAGCTATAATCAACTTATTCAACATAATAAGTAGCTTGTGGTTATATTTTAAATAAAAAATCCCATTTTTTTATAATAAGAAATACGTAGTAGCACAAAAGGAGGTGACGCATACAACGAGGCCTAGTTAATGCCATCCCGACACACGGGCATACCCCCACAGGATACAAAAAAAAAGCTTTTAACTTACTTATTTGGCTTAAATAGATGTTACCAAATGCTTTTCTCTTGAAAGAAATCAATAGATTCAACAACAAAAACTTACCAAATGGGGCCTCTACCCTCTAGTGTTGTAGCACCCAATAAGCCTTAACCATGAAAGATAGAATGATGATCCTATGCACTAGTCCTAAGGAGAGGATCTGGCCTACAACCTTTGCTTCACTGGCCTCCATCTATGGAAAGGTTTGTACCACCTGAATTTGAGGGTTAGCTGTAATGGTTTTGCGTTTTGAGTCATGTTGAGAAATGTGTAGGTTCTGTTTGGAGTCATCTTTGGGAACCTGGTTTTTCTTGGAACATTACTATTTGGCGCAATGAGCTTTCTGGAATCAACTGTTAGAAATTTTGGGTAATTTTTTTAAACAACTGTCAGAGAATGTGAATTATGAAAGCACCACTTAACTTTAATCTTTACCTGATAAGTTTATTTGTTATATTTACTTGAATGGGACAGGTATAGGTCTGTACTGCTTGCAATCCTTGTCTCGAGTTACTTAAAGATCTTCCTTGTGGCCATGATGGTATGCTTTTTGCTTTCCGCATTAAATCTAATTTTAATGTGAATTCGAGGTAGTTAGGTTCTTTTCAATGAAAATTCAAGGCTAGTTATCATCATGGAGATTCATTCCAACTAAGGATTTTCTCATAGAGAGTGATGTTATTCTTTAATTCACAGGTATGGGAATTTCCTCCTGCTGTTATTTTTGTTGTTGACATGCTTGTCTTCTCATCCAATACATTAGCATTAACTGGTATGAAAATTGTTACTTAATTTATTACCTGTGATGTATAGTTTTTTTTTTTTGCAAAGGTTAAGCTATAATGTGAAATATGTTTGACTGCCTATCATTTGCACTATTAAAATATAAACGAGAATTATATTGAAGAGAGGAGCAACGAATTTTCTGTCTTTCATTGGAGTGTTAAGGCCCTATAAATATATACTACAAAGATGAAATATTCCTATTATAAGATTGAAGATTCTATACAATAATAATATCCTAGAGTACATTCCTAAAATATTATAAAGCATATTCTAAAGTATATTCTAATACCTTTCACAATATTTCGTTATTAACCCTATTGCTTATATAAATTTGGTAAGTGGTAACTAAGCATAAGGGTGTTAATTGATTGAACCGCTGATAAAATTATTGGTCGATACCTATACCGTAAATCTGCTAGTGGTGTTCTAGAGAGAATGCAAAGCTAATAACATAGAGATAAAGGGATCCATAATAAATTGAGAAATAATGACAGATATATGATTGAAATAAAGTCAGTGAACAAAATGTGACGTTTATAGTTTAGTGACTATCAATCTATATAGTAAGTTTAGTGTGCATGATTGTGTACAACTTTATACTATAGTGGCTATGCATAGTAACAATAGAAATATTTTTGCCCATAAATTATATTTCAATAATATTTAAGGAAAAATCTCATAAATGAATATTCGAACCTTTACAAATGCCCAAAGTCGGGCTATTTATAGTGGTAATAAATGTTAACCTTCCAACCTTTACAACTGTCCAAAATCCTATAGATTCATGCTTCATCCTTGTGTGGATGGTCTACATTGCTCCGAGCTGTGGTATCCTTGGCTGGGCGAGGGTTCTCGCCGAGGGTGTAGCCCATTGCTTGTTGGGCCGGTCCAAATGTCTTTTGAGTATATCAGCCATGGGTCCAGGCTCATATACTCCATCATTGATATTTATACAAATATTGGTATTGCCAATATATAGGATTACTGGTAGATATTTTGATATCGAAATCGTTTTTTTTTTTGGAATAGAACTACATTTTGTAAATTATACTACGTATGAAAAAGACAATGTAGTAACTGATATTTCAAATATAATATTCAGTACTTCCCGATATTTATCAAAATGTTCTGCTATTTTCCAATATTTTTGACATTTCCAAATTTTCTCTGAGATTAGCAAAACCATTATCCCTTATCGATAACAGAAATATCGAAATACAGAAATTTCAATGAAAAGTTTATAAATCTCAGGATTTTCATCATTGATTGAAACTGCAATTTTGTGTACACAAAGAAGGCATTTTTACCTTATTCTTCTGTTTATGTATCAGTTCTTACAGACAAAGACACGACTCATTGCCTATGGATCTGCTTGGCTGCACAAATGATGAAGTTATTCATGGAGCACAGCCTCATAGGATTTCCAACTCTCTCCCAGTTCTATTAATCTCTCGTGAAGTTATTTTGACTTGCAAACTTCAATTCATGCTAAAACATGGAACTGGCTTTAGAGCCTTAGAGGCACTCTGTCAACGGGGGGGGGGGGGGGGGGGGGGGCTACCACTTCCCTAGCGCTTTTGTGAAGGACAGGTAATATGCATTTGTGGTCCCATAACTATATAGGGGTTGCAAAAGTAGCCATGTTAGATTTGTTTTGGCACTTTAGAGCCATTTATTTCAAAACTATCAAGAATAATATAATATAGTCCTGAAGCCATTAAAAGCTGCCATGTTTACCAAAGAAGTATTGTTCAGGCTTTGGATCCAAATGAATGTGGTGAAGTAGCAAGAAGTATTGTTCAAGTTTTGGATCCAAATGAATGTGGTGAAGTAGCAATTTTATAACATTTAAGATGCAAATTACATTTTTGTGTGAATAGAAATGCAGAAGACTAGCATCTAAAACAAACTGCATTTTGGCCTATCTAAATTTCACAATTTCACGTTAACCCCCGTCCACCAGATGACTATCAAACCAGTTTCTTATCAAATTAGGGTGACTTTGGAACTACTTTTGGTATTTTGAAAGTAACAGATCTAAACTGATAAAACAAATTTCAGCTACTAAAATTGTTAATATTTGATAGTTGCGGGACCAAAGTGCATTTTCCCTGGTATATGATGTAATTCTGATCAAATACTTTGCATTGTGAGCACATGGTTAACTATATCAATCGATAAACTATATAATGTTATGGTATGTTTACAGATACTATTGTCTACAAATAATAGTGTAAATATGAGAAAACAAAGCCCCACACACACTGACACACTTGTTGGTTTATCTGAGTTTAGAGACAAAGCCTTCTCCTACATGCCTCAAAGGGAAGGGAATGCTTCCAAGGAGAGTACTCTGAGTAGCCCAACTCTTTGACTAGTTCTTGAATCAACTCTTTGCATATATAATCTTGTAAAACCACTCCAATTTTTCTAGTCTCTCCATGCTCACCACAAGCTATGTCTCTGCAAACTTCCTCCACACTCCTGACCACTGCTTTGCTGCGCCACTTCACCGGAGATGAGACGATCACTTCTTCCCGCTTTGATTGGAAATGACTTGTTTTCAATTTCTTGAGGATAGAGTTAATATTTCCATCTTTGGCTACATTGTTGGTTGCTTGCGCTGCGCACAATGCTGTTGAATATAATAAAAATGTCAAGTCATCTCACCACGAACAAAGATAAGAATACACAATACGTTTTCTACCATGTTGACCGTTTAAAATGAAAGCTTATAAGGCGTAAATAAAAACACATTTGTTTTAGCAAGAATCAAACAATAAGTAGCTGCTAGACAACAAAACAAATTAGACTTAAGACACACATTTGTTGGAGATTTTGGAAGTTCCTTTGTCTGGCTGTACTCCTATAATGTTCTTTTAGTGCTTTAATTTCATCAAGGGAGATTTACCTTAATAGGATCAAAACATGACTTTTTTTCTCAAAATAGGAGTACCTAGATTAAACATCCTTAAATAGGACTTTTTATTAGTGATTGGACCAAAATACCCCTCACAACCTTTACCACTGCTGCCCAGGGACTGCCGGACCGCCGCCTGCCGCCTGCCGCCGCCTGCCGCCTGCCGCCGCCGCCGCCGTCGCCGCCGGAGCTCCGGCGACCGCCGCCGGAAAAATTCCAGATTTTTTTTCTGGAGGTTTGCCAACATTCTGCCGCCACCTGCCGCCACCTGCCGCCGGCCGCCGCCGCCGCCGGAAACCGCCTCTTCCACTGCCGCCAACCTGCCGCCACCTCCGGACTGCCCCGCTACCAACGGACTGCCTTGGTTGTGCAAGAGAACTAGGGGGGGCAATTAATTGGGTTAATTAATTGCCGGAGTTGCCGCCGCCGCCGCCGGAATCCGCCGCCGGCCGCTGCCGGAGTGCTGCCGCCACCACGGACTGCCACGCCACCGACGGACTGCCTTGGTTGTGCAAGGAAACTAGGGGGGCAATTATTTAGATTAATTAATTAAATAGAATTAGGGGTAAAAAAGGTAAGGTTAGTCCTATTTAGAGAAAAACATGCATGTGGTCCTATTTTGAGAAAAAGGTTGAGTTTTAGTCCTACCTTGGACAATTTTCTCTTTCATCAAAATCAGAAAAGAAGAAAAGTAGGAAAGCTGAATATGGGAGTGGACCCAAACCATAAAAAAAGGTGAAGCTCTGCTAGCTAAAGCAATAATCACAGTGCTTTATTTTGCCTTTTGTTTGGATGCTCTGTCGTACCTTCATCATTTTTTTAGTGCATCATAATCATAAGTAATTATATGGATTGTTTAGAAGATGAGAAACACCACCTCATGAACCATCATCATCCACACCCAAGAAAGCATGCATTTCTTGCCACTTGCATGAAATCACATTATGCTATCAGGGTATAGCAGTGGACCTCAGCTCCTAATTTGGAAAACATAAAATATTGAAAATATAGAGCCCGTTTGGTAGAACGAAAATCGGCTGGTTTGACTGATTTTGCTGAAATTTATGAAGTTCTGGCTGAAGCGGCTGCATTGGCTGATTCTGCTGGTTTAAGAAAAAATTATTTTTAAAATATATTATATTAATAAAATAAAGAAAAAACTATATGTAAAATAGCTAAAATGATCATATACAGTAATTTCAGCCAATACAACAAAAAAAGTAACTCCAACTTTACTTTTTATGCTTATTACACAATTCAGCACGCCGAAGCAAAAATTACGTGTTTGGTGAAAAAGCTGGCTGATAAGCCTGATAAGCCGAAAAACAGTGTTGCCAAATGGCCTCATAGTGTATTTGCACTGGTAGTAAAAGAGTGTCACAAGGAAGATGTCTCGGGTTCAATTCCAAGTAAAGATTTTGGATGAAACTTCACTCTCTTTTCATTAGAGTGTAATCAATACTCAACTTACATCTTTCCAAATAACTATTCGATCGGCCCTCATAAATGAGGCTTATTTAGTGTTTTGCTTATAATTAAAAAAGCCTATTTTAGTGTCGTGTTTGGAAAATATGAACATTGAGTTGATAATATTTTACATATATATTTCTAAGTTAAAAGTTGTGAATAAAGTTTACAACATAATTATTAGATTTTGTAATTAGCACAGGGCTTCTTATAAATCAAGGTGGTCTTGCATCATGGTTCACTACTTCCCTCTATGATCCTCATTTAGGTAGTGGCCGATTGAGTGCCCGGACCATTAGGTCTGTCTGTCCAAACCCACTCATACACTGTAAGAGTAGCTAACATAGATCTGACTTGGAATTGTACACCCAATATTATCCCTTATAAATTTACCTTTTTTACATCTCAAAATCTTTTTCATTTTCTTTTTAATTAATTAATTTTTCTATTTTAAACAAAAAAATTTTATTTTATTTTTTCATGGGTTGTTCAAATTTGATAAAATTATAAAAGAGAATACTCCGTATTACTTTAACAATGTTTTCACATCACTCGCAAATCACCTTGAAACATTTGAGTTGGTGATTTATAAGTCCATTATAACTTGTTTGATTTTACATGTATACTCCGTATTTGTAAGCCTATGATCGACAACTTTTGGAACGTTCTGCTTTTTCATGATATCAAAATTTTGAAGAACAACTAGTCGAGTGATTATATTTATTTATGTTAACTCTATGTTTAAGTTCTTTAAAAAAAACTCTATGTTTAAGTAGGTAGCATTAGTGCATGACATGAACTTATAATAATACTTACTATTATTTTTATTCAACTCTACTTCAAATGATGTTTAAGCACAAGAGAAAAAGAGTTGCACTGCCCTCAAGAACATAACTGGAGGTCCATTTTTAATCTTAGTGTCAAATTATTATTACCTAAGGAGGTCAAAAACCCACTCCCCGTCTTGATTGGTCTGATATATTGATAAAAACTCACGGAGAATTAAGTTAGATGAATAAAGTGTAGGGATAAAAAAAGGTTTACATCACTTGATTATTTAGTGTAAATTAAAGGGTTTTTTTCAAGAACAATTGACACTAATTTTCAAAAACAAATGACACTATACTAATACATTTATAAATAAAACATAGTCAAATTAGAACATGCGAATAATGTAAAATTATGTTGGAAAATGTGTTAAAAATTGCATTAAATGGTCAATTTTGAGCAATATTTTGAGTGGGGTCCACTCCTGATTTGGGTCGAGTCAAAGTGGTTTTGGATTGTCCTTGTTAAGGACTACAATTCGATATAACGGGTGAATGAGAAATTGATTCTGTTAACTCGTTGAAATTGAGAAAACTAAGAAAATGATGGGTTTCTAGTGTGAATCCCACACTGGGAAAGCCAAAGGATTTCCACCCCCTTATAAAAGGTATCTTCTTTGAAGGAGTTAAAATTCTTACGTGGAAAGGCTCTCTTCGCGCGCAAGGGATACCAATAAAATCAAAAAACAGAGAAGAAAAATCGCGACTTGCGTGCGCGGGTGACTTGAGGACGCGAATGTCGTTCGAAAATCTGTCTTCTAAATTAAAGACTTGATTTTTGTTTCTTCCCGTAACGATCCTATTTTTGCTCCAGGTTCAGTCCCCGTTGGGAGGAGGCTGTTGCTCCATGCATGTTGAATGACCAGAAACAGGCTGTTGTTGAGGCGTTACAACAATAAATGCCCAACGTTCTGCAGCATTAAGTGGACAGTTCATGGACAAATCAATGTCTAACAGACTGGTCATTGATGTCCAACGCTCAGGTCCTTTAATACGCCGTAACACACAACAAATCCTTCAATATAAGTAGCTGACAGGTGCTTTACAACAACACACGTTAAGAAACGAACTTACACACTCCTCACGTAGTTTTGAACTCTAAAAACACCTCCAACATCCTGCAAATTTTCTTAGTGTTCTTGTTGTGTTTCCGTTCGCCGGAACCTTTGTTTGTATCTCAAACGATCGTTCGTTAGCCACCGTATCCTGGGAAACGGTCGTTGCAACACTTCTAGCACCATGTGAGGCAACAAATGCGTTTTAAGGACATTGTGCGTGACACAAGTTCTTGCTAATTTTTGTTCCATCATATTTCTGTTTTTTTTGGCTATTTTGATTAATTTTATTAATTAATTTTTCTTCATTTTTCCGGGACACACTCAACAAATTCAACATGTTGCACTTATTTAAGAACGGAAATAGTATAAAATATTTTACATGAGGATTATAAAATACTTCAAAAGCTTCTTATAGAGCATTGCAAGGACGTTGCACGTAATTTAAAAATAAATAAAACATCTAACAAAAAAGTGTATTTTATTTATGTACAAACTGATTACTTCTCCAAACTTTTTTGCAATTATTTCTTATACAAAAGTTTTTTAAACGTATAAAATACTTTTTTTAAAGTAACGTATAAAATACTATGCTCTAAGAAGTGAACTATTATCATCTACCGGTAATTATTTAATCAGTACTTTGTACGAGTAGTACTCCTTTATTTGGTTCTCTATCTGTTTTAAATCTAACTTTAATTATTCAAAAAAAAAATCTAACTTTAATAATTGCCTTGCTCGCTTCAGTCTCCCCGACTCCGGCCGCCGTCGGCGACCAGAACCGGTGATGAACTTCTCGTACAAAGTATGGGATTGAAGAGATTAAAAAAACATAAGGAAATATTGGGAAACAAACCTTCAGTATTTTGACTTCTGGTCAAAGTTGTCGAACGACTTATCATCTGCTCGTCCAGCACACTGATCGGACTCAAAACCTGATGCTCCGTACATTTCTTTGTGCACGCCGGCGGCGGCAGAGTCGCCGGCGACGACTCCACGGACTGTATAATTTTCTTAAGCGCTTCCAAGTCTTGGTTGCACTTCTCTAAGGCTTGCAACAGCATCTTTCTCTTCACCTCCGTCAACGACAGTTCACATTCCGGCGCCGGAGACTGCTTCTCCTCCAACCCCATCAGCCGCTGCACCAATGCCGGTCTGCCTTTAGCGTTTTCCCGGCGGATCTCCGGCGAAAGGCCCGGGCTTCTTTGTATTCTTACTTCCTTATTATGATCGTCATTCATCACTATCACTTTTTCTGGAACCGCCGGAGATAATGTTTCTTCACTATATTTCTCTCTCTTTCGGCCTGTAAATAAAAATAAATTAATTAACATTTCTTAGAAAATGAAAATATATCAAACCATTACACCAACAATTCAACCAATATGTACCAAATGTAAGGCGTTTCGTTTTGTTTTGGTATTTGGAGAGGAGCTGAAAGATTCCAGACATGCAACCGATGGGTTTTTCTCGACGGCGTCTTTTCTCCGGCGGCGGTGTCTGCCGGCGGGATGCGGAGAGTAGAGATTCTTGTCTGTTCATTGTTTTTAATAAAGTATTATGGGTATGAATGAAACTTCTTTATAAAGCGATTAATAGTGTAGCATGGAAAAGTGGGTCTAAGGTCTGATTTTATAGTACCGTTGTTCGACAGGAAAGTGACAAAAGGCCGGTAGCCAGCTGCATACTCCCAGTCTCCCTTATAACTTTGGGGCTTTGTCAACTTTTCTTTTTTTGAATGTTCCGTTCATTTTGTCATTTTCCCATTTAAGTTAAGAATTTGTGATTCCAGTTAATTCTTTTTTCTCTGCACAAATCTCAACCACATAGTTTTTACTTTATTAATCCCCGTGTCGATCAAAATTGGCAAAGTTATTTGGGGCGGAGAGAGTAACTTTTTATTACCGAAATAATGGTCCAAATAATACTCATAGTCTCATAGGCTGTGTTTGGTATGATGTAATGCAATGCAATAGAATGGAATGAAGTGTGTAATCCAATAGAAAACGTAATGTAATGGAATGTAGTCCCCATTCCATTACTATGTTTGGTTACTTAAGTAACAACTTTGAATTGTAATCAACATTACATAATTATGTTTCTTTATTTGTGTGTGTGTGCGTGCAGTGGGTGTGTGTGCAGTGTGTGTGCGCGCGCGCGCACACGCAGTGTGTGTGTGTGTCAAGACAATTTTCTTAAAAGGACCAAGAGTGTCACTTTTATGAATGTTGAAGGAATAAATATGGAAATTTTCAAAGACATGTACCAAAACTCTCTCTAGCACATGCAATAGTCGAAGACTAAAAATGGAAAAAGTCAAAGTCGAGTACCAAAAGTGTCAATGCCATAATAGTCGAGGGACTAAAAGTGAAAATAACTCGTAAAAGTGGAGTTACAAAATTATACTCGATCAATCAATCTCATTTTGTAGGATATCTTTCATATTCAATTCACTTGATCAACACAAATCACTTTTAATCTCTTACTTGATATATCAAATTTGATTCTGGTTTTTGTGACTTTGTTAAGCTTTTAATATAGTTTCTGAGTATGTAATTCTTTTTTCTAAAAATAATTTGAGTTGGGATAGAGATCTGTTTTCTTTATCATCGGTCAAACATCATAAACCGTAGAGTGTCTTACAATTCGGAACGGAGGGAGTACTTTTTTGGATCAGATTCACTTAATTATGATAGCAATTCTTAATTAAATTCTATTTTGAATTTTGCAACTTTTTAGAAATTTTAATGTAATTTCTGAATATATAAATTTTAATTATTAGAATTGAATTAATTATTAATAAAGAAGATTTAACTTTAACATTGGTTTACTAAAAAATATTGATTCTACGGAACAATTTGGGACAAAAGTAGTACATATTAAGTTCCTTATAAAGATATTGAGTAAAAAGTTTGACCTCACGTCACTGGATTGTCGCCGTCGGACCGCAGCCGAGCTGTCATCACCATCAGATTGGCCTTGGTTATGCTAAGTTAGGGGTATAAAGGTCATGTTTAGTCACATTTTGAGAAACCCAAACATATGATACTCTTTTTGAAAGAATGCTACTCCATTTGTCCTATTGGACACTGTCTATTTTGATTTAGATGTAGAATAAGAAAATTGAAAACTGAATGATTGAGATTTGTGTATAGGGGAATTGAAAGAAAACATGATAACCACAAATTCATTATTTTTATAAGGTGTGGCAAAGTTTTGGATCAAATAAAGAGGAAAGTTGAAAAATCTAATGAGTCAAAGGGAGTGTGTTTTAGTCTTTGCAATTTTCTTCATGTTTTTATTTTTAAAATAGGAGCGATTAGTATCATGATTTGGCATTACCTAACTTGAAACATGACAATATCTTCAAAATTTGGCAATAATAACTTTTATTAAGAAAATTAAAACGATGTACTCCTATTTTGAAATTCCAAAATATTTTACTCAGATTTCGGGAAATTCCCTTTCTTTTGCTTATAAAAATAATGATGAGAGTATATAACCAAAATGAAAGTATTAGATGAATGCAAACTATATCGTACAATTGGTTGTATCGTGCATCAATTAGGAGCGTAACAGAGAGGGTTTCAACCGACCGACGATGAGGCATGGAGCACAGTCGTTCCTCCGCCAACCAAACACAGCAATCCTAGCTTCAGGGATGACCTATTCTACGGGACAGCACAACTGAACGACAAAGGGGCTCTGACTTTCAAACGCTGCTACGGGGTAGAGAACGTGTGATCGTTTATCATTGCGTCAATGACAGTCTATTCTCTGGGACAACACTACTAGATGGTAACAAAGGGCAGTTGGCCTTTCATCTATCGGAGCTAGCGACCACCGCAGGTCAGATTGGAGCTCATGACAATCATATTGGAGCTTGCTCACATGCTCTCGATGCTAAACAATAGAAAGCATGATACCCAATGAAGATGTTTTGATGATTAGTGCATGGTTGATCACATATTCTTAATGCTCAATATTAGAGAACTTGATAGTCAATAGAGATGTTTTGATGCTCAATGCAGAGTTCCAATACTCTATGAAAATATTTGATCACATAATCTCAATATTGAATAGTAGAGAACGCGATACTCAATTGTAGAGTTCTAATGCTAAATAGAGGATGGTTAATGCCTAACTAGCATAGCTTACGATTTTCACATAAATGCATATTTTAAAAGTATAATATTAATTTAAATTCACATTTTGAAATACATATAAGTTGATTATTATACATATAATTTTTTTTTAGATTATAAGCAAAAAAAATGAGAAGAAGATATGAAGCAAAGATCATGATGTTCAATAGTAGACTTCTAATACTCTACAAGATAATCCTGATACTCAAATTAAAACAAGTACATAGATGATCGATTAATCGAAGCCGTGATTTTTGTTGAAAAATTGTGTTATAAATTGCATGAAATGGTAATTTTGGGGCAATTTTTTGAGTGGGGTCCACTTCCGATTTGGGTCGGGTCAAAGTGGTTTTGAATTGTCCTTGCTAAGGGCTACAACTCGATATATGGTACGCTCAAAACAGATAACGAGTGAATGAGAAATTGATTCTCGAAGTTTGCCTGTTGGAATGGAAAAACTGGGAAAAATGATGGGTTTCTAGTGTGTTATTTCCTACACCAGAAAACCAAAGGAATTTGCAACCCTTTATAAAGGGAAACCCTCTCTAAGGAGTTAAGATTCCTGAAGGTAAAGGCTCTCTCTTGCGCGCAGGGGGTGCAAATCAAATCCCGAAACGGAGAAGAAAAACTGCGACTTGCGTGCGCGGGCAACCTGCGGATACGAATGTCGTCCAAAAATTGTTTATTTTGTTTTCTTCCCCTAACGTTTATTTTTTCCCAGTTGACAGAACAGTGCGAGTGTTCTGGTCGCTTCGGAACAGAACACCTCGTAGGGTGTTCTGGTGGGGGTCTTCTGTCGAGCAGCTGAACGTTCTGAACCGTTATAACAATAAATGTCCAACGTTCTTGTGCCCTTGTGCAGCGTTAAATGGACAGTTCATGGGCGATTCAGTGCCCAACGGGCTGGTCATTGATGTCCAACGTTTAGGTCCATTAATTCACCATTAACACACAACAAATCCTCATATATAATGGCTAGCAGGTGGTTTGCAATAACACACGCAATCACACACAATTTGCGCGTATTTCTTCTGCTAAAAACACCTTCAGCTCTCTGAAAAATTTATAAGTGTTCTACTTGTGTTTCCGTTCGCCGGAACTTTGGTTTGTGTGCTCAAACGATAGTTCGTTAGCCACCGTATCCTGGGAAACAGTCGTTGCAACGCTCCTAGCACCGTGGGAGGCGAAGAATACGTTTTAAGGACATTGTGCGTGGCACGAGCTTTGGCTAAAATCTGCTCCATCTATTTTCTGTTTTTTATTTCGTCATTTTAATTAATTTATTTTAATTAATTTTCTTTATTTTCTGAAAAACACCCAACATTTTTGACCTAAAATTACAAAAATGACACTGGCTATACACGGTACACCGATTGTACGGTACACGAACTCTTAGGATGTTTTTACTTGGACTGTAATTTGCTGGTCTGGTCTGGTTTCTTTGTATTTTTATAACTACCCAAATTTGGTCTGGTCTGGTTTGGGACAAATTACAGTCCAAATAAAAACATTCTTAAATGAAAATATGTTTTGGCAAATGTTTGAAAGTGTACATGTGCCAATGTTAATTTTTTTCATCAGTTAATACAATGAATTAAATTTTGAAAAATAAACGGATGAACTCTTTTTTGGGTTTTAATATACACATTTTACATTCATTTTGGTCAATTATTAATACATATTTATTTAAACCATTCTCACAATTTTTTATGAATCATTAATTATTTTCCGAACTCCTTTTTTGTAACGATATTTTTGCAAACAAATAACTTATTTATTAACAATAGAAATAACAAGAAATGAAACAATACAGTCCAAGATTACACTGCTATGACACATTGAATCGAAAAGACTTCAAGAGCAAATCAGATTCGTTAATCCCGCATCGATGTAATCTAATTTAATAGGACTACTGAACTTGCTACTCCAATCATAACTAAAATAAAACATGTTGTCCTTAAAAGTAGAGAAATAAATTAATTTAAGCATTGTCTCTTTACCACCCACTCGAAATGAAGAAGTTTGATCAGATGTCTCCAAAGGAAAACTTCCATTCTCATACTCTGGGTTTGGAGTTATGTGAGCATTATATATCAAATTGATAATTTTAATTTTTTTCACTATGATTTTAACACAATAATTGAAAGGTAAAAAATGTCACTATTATAATAGTTGAAAGACAAAAATATCACTTTTATGAAAGTCGATCACAAGAATAAATATGAAAAATTTTAAAAATGGGTACCAAAAGTGTTTTTTTGCGCAATAGTTGAAGGACTTAAAGTGAAAAAATCAAAGTGAAGTATCAAAAGTATCAGTGACATAATAGTTGGATGGCTAAAAGGGGCTCACTCTGACATGTTACAACGTTCAATTTAACTTTTCTTTCTCTAATATATATACTCGGTATATTATGCAAGGTTATTAAAATTTCGATTTGCAATTT